CTCCATTAGACTCTCTATTCTAAAATTCTATTTCATTAAAATATTATTTTTTATTCTTTTATCTTTTTCAATTTAAATAGATGTTGGATTTGTCCAAAACAACAGCAGACAACAAGCAAAACAACAGCAGCAAAGCAGAGCCAAAAACACACATGGCCAGTCGACCAGGTCGATCGATCAGGCCAATTTTAGGCTATTTCTTTTAGCTACAAAGCACTCACAAGACATCCAGGAGGACATCTGGGTGGATGACCGGCCATGGTGATGAGAATGAAGGTAATGAGCACTGATGTGTTACAATGGTGATGGTTTGTTTCCAGATGAGCTTCTGGATACACAGATGAGCTTCCAAACTTGTTTGCGATGACACAAGAAATGAGCAAGGGAGAGTTTCCAATTCTTGTATATTTTATGTAATAAAATTCAAATAGCCTGTGAATAGTGACTCATCTGATGTAGTGAACAATTGTAGCAATTTTATAATACAACGATGGCCTACCGAACCTGATGCACCTCTTTTTTTGGAGAGTTGCTCGTCAAAATAGCGCTAAACCTGTTTTGGTGAGAGAGATGTTGTAACAGCCTCAAAATGTGTGTCACAATTATTCTTATTTAATTATGCGTTAATATGAATTAATTTGAGAATATCTGGTTAAATTGGGAAAAATATATGTTGAGACTACAACTTTGGGACTGAAATTGGCAGCTTTAACAGGTTCAGAAACCAAAATTGAGCACATGGATATATTAATGAGAATTTTTAGAGTCATTTTGAAAGTTTAATTGAAAATTTATTTTGTCTAATTCGCTAAGCCATGTTTGGCTCATCCTTTAGACAATTATATATAAATATAGATATGGGCCTTAGTTGTGGAATCAACAAAGAAGAAAAAATTTGAGAAAGAGAGAGAGAAAGAGGAAGAAGAAGATCAGAGGGGGATTGAAGCCAAATCTCCACCAAATCAAGCATCTAAGGTGAGAATCCATCTCTAATTTCTTGAAGCTAAGTGGACTTAGAGAGTTGAGTAGTGTAAATTGTTGTTTAGAACTCACTTGAGTTGAAAGAGAGGACTTGTAAACATCTATGACATTTTTTTCGTGTTTATAAATCATGTTTTCTTGCATGATTGTCATATCTGGGAAGGAAACTCCATAGATTTGAGAAATAGAACTCTTATGTGCATGTTTATGCTTTTTACCAACTTAATTCAAGTTTGTGAGCTTTTACATGGACATTTCGAATTGAATTGGAGTCTATGGTCTCTTAAATTGGGAATTTGGAATTATTTCCAAGTTTTGATTTCTATTTGATATTAATAGATCCTAGTCAAGCTTATTTATGTGAATTTTGGAGTTGAAATATATGATTTTGGAGTCTAATTTTGAAGAATTGCTAGACCAAATTGATGAGCCATTTTCGGATTCCAAACAACCCAGAACCGCACGTGCGGCATAGGGCCTCGCACGTGCGGAAAACAGAGCAGTCGTGTTGTGCATTCTACTTAAATTGCACATGCGGGAACAAGTGCGGTGGTAGTCACCGTACGTGTGGCTGAGGCCCCTGCACATGCGACCCTTTGAGTAGTCCCGGTTTTGTTTTTTGCTCCACTTTTCTACCTTCCGAGCCTCCGTTTGCATGGTTTTAAAGTATTTTCATGTGCATTTGCATCTCATGAGTACATTAGCATGATCAAATAAACGATTAGAACCGAACAAGTAAAGAATGAACTGTAACTGGACTTTGCTAAGACATAGGTTATGTTATGTGCATTGTGCTTGTAGGTCACGAGTCAGGGACTGCACAATCATTATTGGACGGCCACTGTGAGTAACATTTTTGTAAAGATTTGTTGATATGAATTATATTTTAACTGCTATCGATAAGCTGAAATTCTATTTTGATTATGTGAACGAATGTCCTATTTGCGAATCTATTATAGCATCCGCATATAGTCCCAAGTCGTGGCGGGTCCATAACATATATATTATACGAGATATCGTTAGCCACTTTATTGTGGTGATATGTGTTTAATCGGTATCCGGAATCGATTATTCTAGTCGGAAGATGATATGTGATATGTTCTGTGGGATGTACCATTATGTTATGTCCTGATATGAGACTGATATGTATGATTGTGTCAAGATTTGTTTTACGGATACGTTGTATTTGGAATTCATTCACTAACCTATTTACTTTAATGTTATTCACTGGGTTTAGCTCACTGCTTTTATTATCTATGTATAGGTGAGCGTTCCGAAGGGCAAGGCTAGAAGCGTCTTAAGCTGAGCCACCATTTTGAGTGCCTCCGAGTTGGGGCTAGGCCAGGAAGCCCGTTGTTAAGCTTTTGATTGTGATGTACACCTATGACCCGTACCTATGTTTTGTATACGAGATTATGCTATACGTTATGTTTTGTAAGTGGGTAAATTAACATTTTTGCATGTAAATATTTATTCATATAAATGCATAGCTCATTAGACTATCGTTGTTGTTGTTGTCTATTGCTTCCACAAGTTTCGATTATTTTTTGACTATGTAGGAAGGCCTTTGATAATTAAGAATTATTGGCCGGTTACGATGCCAAACTTTTAGGGGCGAGTTTGGGTCGTGATAGATGTGGATGCTTTAAGGAGTTTTTTAGTGTGTTACATTGGAGTATTACATTTGAAAAAGTACATTAAGAATTTTTTTTGAAGTGTTACGTTTAGTAATTTTAATATTATGAGAAAACTTACATTTGTCTCTCAGAATATAACACACGCGGGTTTATGGTTGACCCTTTATGTAATTCACACTACAATGGGACCTTTAGGTCTAAAAAAAAAAAAGAGAGGACCAAACAATTCATAAGATAATTATTTGGGATTTATTATTGATTCACTCAAATTAAAAAAAGTACTATTAAATTAAGTGATTCTAAAAAGAAAATAAAAGGGTTATTAAAAAAAAAACAGTGCCAAAGAAAAAAAATATTAAAACTAAAAAAATTCAAAATAAAATTTTGAAAAAACAAACCAAACCAAATACAGGAAACTTCTCTTTTTTTAAATATTTTTTCATTAATCTCTAATTTTACACAAATTATTCACAAATTCACTTCAATTTGTATGTGAATTTAATAATCTAATAAAAAAAAATAGCACATACACACAAAAAAACATAAAAATATAACACTAAACATCTACATTATGACCAACTATTTAATTATAATTTTTTTTTCCATTGTTACATGTATTATATTGTTGTAAAAGGTTTCACTTGTAATGTCTTACATATGTTAGTGACTACATATATAAATATATAAAAAAACATATAAATATAAATATAAATATAAATATATATATATATATTACTGTATTCATAGATTGTCAATTCGTAATGCTATATTATCATCGGATACTTTAATTTTTGTTAACATGTGTTGCTTTAGTAATATAATTATATGTATTGTTCTCATGTCAACTTTATGTTGAATACATATATACATACATGTCATATAAATAAGTATCCACAACGAATACTTTCAATAATAAATCAAGACTTTATAAAATACCTCCATCACGACAATAATTTACTTGTTTTTTTCCTTCACAGAAAAAATCACATTATGGAGGGAAAATGGATTTTAAAATTCATAACAATATGATATCGCCTTAAACTCTTACTTATCAAAATATTTTTATTACAATGAGTAATAGTGGTGAGCAAGAAGAAAAATAAGAAGATGGTGAAATCAAAATTATAGAAAATCTATTATAACATACTCTCAAAGTAAAGTTAGATAAGCTCAAGCACGAATTGTCCTTTTTGTTTTAAAGTTTAAGAAAAACAATATGCCTCATGTATATATTTTAGTCAAATTATAAGGAAAAAAATCAAATGATGCCCAAATATTATCGCAGTAACTCAATGATGCAGAAAGTAAATACATCAAATGTAAGTTTCAATTAATTTTTGTCATATGCTGATTACTAATAGATAATATAATAAATTATGTAACTTAATAGTTTCATGAAAGTAAACTTATAAATACTTGTAAACATGGATCTATAAATATCATGAAAATAATTATGAAATTCCTATATCGATCGAAATATTAAAGTACAATATCATTTTGTTTTCTAAAAAAACTATTCCACATTTTGTACATAAATGCAAATATACTAATGAGTAATATTATATTTTTTATCATGTAAAATATTTGTGGCATAAGAAACGAGACTCAATAACTCTTGATGTATAAAAATATATTACATATTGATATTAATGCATTCTTACACTAATAGTATGCAAATAGTGAGTTTAATAAATTTATATTATAAGACGAATTATTAAACAAAATTATGTAATTAATTTCATACATTCAATTGTAGTAAAGATACGGAATATGAAAAATTGAAGTGACAAGTTGATAGAAAAAAATTTGTATAATACTATATATGTAAAAGACTTTTTATTTTTTATTATTTAAGATAAGATTGCGATCTTAACAATCTAACTGAAAATTAATATTTATATTTATAAAATTTCTCATTTATTATTAAAATTGTTCAACTGAGTATGTATTTGTTTCTTATTTAGTTATATTTTAAATACAGATCAATTTATTTATACAACTCTTCATACTTTATATATATATATATATCACATATTAATTTAAAAGGCACATAATTATAATATTAATAATTGATAAAAAATCACGTCTTAATAATAAAAATTTAAAGAACTGAGAACATAATTTTCAAAACGTGAAGTGAAATATAGGCTTAACTTGGCAACGAGTTAAAAAAGTCAATTTTTTGAATTTTTAGCCTTTTTAAGCCCAAAAATCAAACCCAAAAAAAAAAATTTTTTAAAAAAAAAAAAAAAAAAAAAACCACCCCAAAAAAAAAAAAAATACCAACCCCAAAACACTCCGTAATTGAACCAAGTCCGTCTAATTTATCCAAAGAATAAATAAATTAAAGACTAAAAGTGAAAAAGCATAAAAAGGAAAAGAAAGACTTCTACATTAATGCCAAACTTGCAACAACTCAGAAACAGTCGCCGACAACGATTCTCTCTCTCTCTCTCCTCCCTAAATTTGATTGAAATTCACATCCAAATGAAATCATTATAAATGCTTTGACGTCGACGACGACCTTAATCGCCGGAAAAAATGGACTCTCTTTCGCCGGCAACGGCGCTGGACTCAATCCTCCTTGAAGATTTCGGCCAAAAAGTCGATCTGACTCGAAGGATTCGAGAAGTGTTGTTGAATTACCCCGAGGGCACGACGGTGTTGAAAGAGTTGATTCAGAACGCAGACGACGCAGGAGCCACCAAGGTCTGCTTGTGCTTGGACCGTAGGGTTCATGGCACTGACTCGCTCTTGTCTGAGAAGTTGACTCAGTGGCAAGGACCTTCGTTGTTGGCTTACAACAATGCTGAGTTCACGGAGGATGATTTCGTCAGTATATCCAGGATCGGAGGGAGCACCAAGACCGGTCAAGCCTGGAAGACCGGTCGTTTTGGGTAATTTTGGCAAGTCCTTTTTGTATTGATTATACTAGAGCTATTGATTAGAGAACTGTTTTTTGAGTTGATGAGAAATGGCAGGGAAGGAGAAGGAAGAACTGGGAACAATTCAACTTAATTGAGCCAAAATATATTAGGCTTAGATTATTAGTGTTGTTGTTTCCTTTTTGTTTAATTTGATCACAAACTTGAAAACCTAAATTTGAAGTTTAGTTTAATTTATTTCATTTCTTGGTGGGTTATTTTTATTTTTTTAAAGTTTATTTTATTTCCCATAATTTCACTATGAATTTGGCTTAGAATCACAAGACGCAGAAGGGCTCGGTTTTTCTGGAAAAATCCCAAGTTCATAAATGCAGTCAATTCTTTCTTTCTTTCTTATCAATAATATAGGGAGGAAATCAGATATAAGTCAAATTCGGGGACGTGTAAGTTGTGTTAAATGACTAATGATCCGCTAGGTGAATTACGTGCTCTGACTACATCGATGAGGTGAAATTGGGCTATAATATTTATTTTTGTGCCATGGACCAGTTTTGGTGGGAAAACTAGTTAAAAACAATAGAGTTTAGTTATCTATTTAGAATATAGGATCATTTGCAATTGGGAACGTATTACAGTGCACAATGAAACAATCGTATATATAGCATAAGGGTAGTTATTGCTAATTAATAAAATAATGAGGTTTTAGTTATCTCTAGGAGGATACACTGAATTTTGAAGTTTGTCAATTGACAAAAGGTAAGTCTTACTGGTTTTTATGCAGTCCAATTCTAGTTGGGGGAATGAGAATTACCAATTGGCCTTTTGTTTACTAAAAGAAACAAATCAATTACTATTTGCCTTGAAGCACTTCTTGGAAAATGATAATGCCAGGGTAAGATGAGGCTACTACTAATCGGTTCCTAGTTATGCATAATATTGGAATTGGATTCTTAACACACTGCCCATCTGGTGGACAGTCCAGGTCTCGGATAGATCATTTTCTGGTGTTGGGGAATTGAGAGGAGCACTTTTCAAATATTGTTCAGCTTTGGTTGACCGGTGTTGGATCACTGGCCAATTTTGCTTGATAGTGGGGGCATTGCAGCAGTCTGTTGCCTTTTTGATTCAAGCATATGTGGCTGACATCAGAGGGTTTTCTGGATATGGTTTGAGGTTGGTGGGATGGGTACGTGGTGTCAGGTTTACCTAGTTATCGCTTGGCTAGAAAGTTGAAGTTGAAGTTGTTAAAGCAAGATTTCAAGTAGTGGAATAAGGAGCTATTTGGTTGTCTGGAGGGCCATAAGTCGGGGGTGTTGGCAGTGGTTTAGGAGTTAGATGATAAGAAGAGTGATGGCAGCTTGTCTGAGGAGGAGGGCAAAGGCCAGGGATGAGTTTGTTTCAATCGCCCAGATGAATCAACTATAGGCAGCGGTCTAGGTGTTTGTGGTTGCAAGAAGGGGATTGTAATACAAAGTTTTTGTCATCGTATGGCTAATGTGCACCGGAGGGTGAATTAGATCTCCAGAATTCAGGTGGATGGGGTGGAGATGACTTATGTGGCTAAGATTAGCATAGGGATAGCAGAGTTTTATAGGTGCCTTTTTCAAGGTGCGGAGAGAGTGGCATCTAGGACTTGAGGGGGTGGAGTTTGGTAGGATTTCAGAGGAGGACAAGGTGTGGTTGGAGCGACCTTTTTTAGAGGAGGAGGTGGTGGAGGCGTTGCGTGAGCTTAATGGGGATGAAGCTCTTGGTTCAAATGGTTTCACCATGGCTCTAGGGATGTGACTGCTACTCATGGTAGGGGTTTGTGGAAAGGTATTTGGTTAGGGAAGGGAGAGTTTTGGAGGTGGGTTTAGTTTCAAATAGGGAGGGGAGAACGTGTGCGGTTTTGGAAGGATAGTTGGTGTGGGAATCAAACGTTGGCACTTCAATTTCCATTGATTTATTGCATTGCGGTGGATAGGGAGGTTGTGGTGGATTTTTATTGGACACTAGCTGCTAGGCGGGTGGTTTGGGATGTTTGGCTTCGAAGAGAGGTTTATGATTCGGAAACTGATCAATTGGTGGAACTTTTGGCTTTCTTGTATGGGATTCGAGAGGTAGGGTTGGGGCTGGATTGTTTGGTATGACGGTGCAAGGGTGCTAATGGGTTTTTTTTTTTTGTTATGTTTTTATTTTGCCTAGGTGGATGGGGTAGAGATTTCTTTTCCACGGCGGATTGTGTGGGCTGTTGGTGCTCCGTCCAAGGTAGTGTTCTTTGTGTGGATGGCCGCTCTAGAGAGAATTTTGACGATGGAAAATCCGATTAGATGTTGCCATATTTTGGTTAATTGGTGTTGTATGTGTTGTCGGGATGCAAAATCTACCTCTCATATTTCACTTCATTGTTTTATGGCAAACCAATTTTGGGGTTTGATTTTCACGATATTTGGCTTGGCTTGGCTTGGGTGCAGTAGGGGTGTGTGATGGATGTTCTGCTTAGTTGGAGGGATGGGTAAGAGGCGTTGGAAGGCTTGGGATCACGTGCCGTTTTGTTTGATGTGGCTGGTTTGGTTGGAGCGTAATCGGCGGATTTTCCAAAGGAAAGAGGTTTCTGTGCATTGCTTGTAGAATTTTTTCCTGGTGGTTTTGTATAGTTGGGTTTCGAGAAGTGTGGTTCTGGACTGATTTGCTTTTATGGATTTTATTGATTCTTTACACATCTAAATGTAGGTTGGTGTGGAGCTGGTAGTGGCCATATCTGTTAGCATCATCTTGATGCTCTTTTTCTAATAAAATGGTTACTCTTTATTTATAAAAGTTAGTGGGATGAGGCTCTATGTGTTGGAAGGCAATCTAATTTTTTTGAAGTGCTTGCTTTTTTTGTGCAATTGTCAATGAAGAGCCTATGTATTTGTAAATCTTCTAGGATAATTAACCATGGCTCATGGTGTTGGTCCAGACTAGTTCATGTCCTATTAACTTCTGGAAATTGTTGTCTATCTTACCTTCTGGTATTGGATATATATTTTGCTTTGCCTTTTCTTTTGTGTATGCGTTTTTGTGTTCTTTTTAGGTGTGTATCTAACTGTGTATTGTTGTTTTGTTTTCCAGGGTTGGCTTCAACTCGGTGTACCATATAACTGATTTGCCGTCTTTTGTAAGTGGTAAATATGTGGTAATGTTTGATCCTCAGGGTGTTTACCTTCCGAATGTCACCATGTCAAATCCTGGAAAACGGATAGAGTATGTTACTACTTCAGCTCTCTCATTGTATAAAGACCAGTTTCTTCCATATTGTGCTTTTGGTTGTGACATGAAAATTCCTTTCCCTGGAACTTTATTCCGTTTCCCTTTGAGGAATGCAGATCAGGCATCAAATAGTAAGCTCTCAAAGCAAGTGTACTTGGAAGAAGACATTTCTTCCATGTTTGTTCAGCTCTATGAGGAAGGAGTTTTCACAATGCTTTTTCTTAAAAGTGTACTCTCTATTGAAATGTATATATGGGATGATGGGGTCCCTGAGCCAAGGAAGATCTATTCATGCTCCATAAACTCAGCAAATGATGACACAGTTTGGCATCGCCAGGCACTTCTGAGATTGTCAAAGTCAAGAAATATTTCTGAACCTGTGGTTGATGCCTTTTCATTGGACTTCTTGAGTGAGGCAGTAATTGAGTCCCATTCTCAGAAGAGGATTGATACTTTCTATATAGTGCAAACAATGGCATCAGCAACCAGTCGGATTGGTTCTTTTGCCGCAGCTGCATCCAAAGATTATGATATTCACTTGTTACCTTGGGCGTCAGTTGCAGCGTGCATATCAGATGATTCATCCCATGTAATTTGGAATATTTTACTGCTACTGTAACTCTGTTCCGTCTCTTACTGCTACTGTGTGTATGCTTGTGTGAGTGCACGTGATTGTGCGTGCATATAGAGTTTTGTACAATATTGGCATGCTATTAACTTGGTTTCTGATTTTGAAACTTATTTAGATCTTTATCTTTGATTCATATATTTTAGGAAATTCCCACCTTCCATGTTACTACTATTACAAACTTGATTTTTAATGTTCTCAAGTGTGATCCTTCCTAACTAGTCAAGTTATTGGTAGATGCTTATACTCGGCTTCTTTATCTTTATGTTTGTTGTTTGTCATGTTACCTCTTAATATTTGTTGGGGCACTGGTGAAGAAATTATGTATGTTTAGCATGCGAGTGTCAGCGCAATTTGATGAACTGTATTATGTTATTTTCAATACTGATAGCCTTCAGCCATTTTTCTTTGGTTTCAACATCATTGTTTCTGCACAGACAAGTGCCTGAATAATATTAAGATGGTAATGTGTTATTTATAGGGACAAATATAGCTACATGAGAAGGCCATATACATGGTTGTCTATGTTCAATATGTATGAACTGTGAAAAAAATAAAAATGCGGATATACACATGGATGCACAGATACAGATATTGCTATGCCAGATGGATATGAGGCTATCCGACATGGGAGATAAAAGTAGAAATAGGAGAATTCTTGTTATACGCACTACAAATTACTTATCAGTCTTGTGCATCAGCGACTTAATGCGACTTAGGAGCATAATTGATCATTTGGTTACACAATCAAACCATTTAATATGCTTGAAACCTTTAAGTTATAGATGAAATTAAATCAAAATCATTGAGTGGGAGTTGATTTCCATCCCAAGTTTCTGATAGAATTCCAGATAGTGACATGAGAAGACATGAAGTTCCTCCGTCCCTTGACTCTCTATTCTTTCCATTTTCCCATCTTGTCCAAGGCTTTGGTAGGATCCATGTTGTGGCAGAGGAATTTTCTTCTTCTTTTCATTCATTCATTCATTCGTTCTTTTTTTTTTTTCCTTATTTTTTATAATAATATGTGATAAGAAGCAATTTCTGAAAGAAAATAATCTCAAGGAACGACAACATAATTGCAGTTACAGACTCTGATCTCGCAGTTTCAGAAATCCTTAGGTAATTACACTGCACCTAGAGAAGTGGTGTCCTTGATGATGGACAGGATGACATGGATTGGTTGTGAACATTTGTGCATCCAATTAACTTTGAAATAAGATTCTGTATACTGCTACTTTAGTTTTATGAATGTTACTTTTCTAGACATTTTTTTTTTCCTCTAAAATTTCTTTGGTTGCTTAACAGATCAAAATCTGATTTTGGTTTAATGTGGTAATTAACAGGATGGCATTCTTAAGCTTGGACAGGCATTTTGTTTCCTTCCTTTGCCTGTACAAACTGGATTGACTGTGCAAGTTAATGGATACTTTGAGGTTTCATCAAATCGGCGTGGCATTTGGTATGGAGCTGATATGGACAGAAGTGGAAAAATTCGTTCTCTCTGGAACAGGCTTCTTTTAGAAGAAGTTGTGGCCCCTAGTTTTACACGTTTGTTGCTTGGCGTGCGACGATCGCTAGGTCCAACGAATATGTATTATTCTTTGTGGCCCAGTGGCTCCTTTGAAGAGCCATGGAGTATTTTGGTTGAGCATATTTACAAGAACATTGGTGAGGCTCCTGTCTTGTATTCAGACCTTCAAGGGGGGAAATGGGTTTCACCAGTGGAAGCTTTTCTTCATGATGAGGAGTTCTCTGAAAGTAAGGAACTTCGAGAGGCTCTTGTGCAGCTGGCAATGCCTGTTGTTCATTTGCCTAAAGTTTTGTTTGATATGCTCTTGAAATGTGCCTGTTTTCAGCAGAAAGTGGTTACTCCTGATTCAGTACGGCATTATCTCAGGGAATGCAGAAGTGTAATTACACTAAGCAGGTCATGCAAGCTTGTGTTGTTGGAATATTGTCTTGAAGACCTGCTTGACGCTGATGTTAGTAGACATGCATATAACCTGCCTTTGCTCCCTTTGGCAAGTGGTGAATTTGGGTTGTTGTCGGAAGCCTCCAAAGGGATTTCTTATTTTATTTGCAATGAGTTGGAATACAAGCTTCTTCAACAAATATCAGATAGGATAATTGATCACAATATTCCTCCCAACCTATTTGGCAGGCTTTCAGCTATTGCAAAGGCCTCAAAGGCGAATCTTATTGTTTTCAATCCTAATTATTTTCTCCAGTTTTTCTCTAAATTTGTACCTTCTGATTGGAAATATAAAAGTAAAGTTCTGTGGGATCCAAAGTCTAATTTTAACCACCCAACGTCATCATGGTTTGGGCTTTTTTGGCTGTATCTTCGGGATTGTTGTGAGACATTGTTGTTGTTTGGTGATTGGCCTATCTTACCATCCCTTTCTGGGCATCTGCATAGACCTTCATTAGAATCAAAACTGTTGAATGTGGAAAGGTTGTCTGAGAAAATGCAAGATATTCTAGTTAAAATAGGATGCAACATTCTAAACAACAGTTATGGTATTGAACATCCAGAATTATCTTATTATGTGAGTGATGCTGATGCTGCTGGTGTTTTGGAATCAATCTTTGACGTCGTCTCTTCGGATATTAGCATCACACAAACATTTCATAATGTTAAAGAGGAAGAGAGGGATGAGCTTCGTCAGTTTCTCCTAGATCCAAAATGGTATATTGGAAAACATATGACTAATGCGGACCTGTGGAATTGCAAGAGGCTGCCTATTTTTAGGGTCTATGGCGGAGAATCTCCTCAAACATTACAGTACTCAGATTTGGAAAACCCTCGAAAATACTTACCGCCATTGGAGGTTCCTGAGTGCTTCCTTGGTGCTGAGTTCATTTGCAGTTTGTCAAGTAATGAAGGAGAGGTTCTAATTAGATATTATGGAATTGAGCGAATGAGGAATGCAAACTTCTATAAGCAGCATGTTTTACACAGAGTTAAGGAGTTGCAACCTGATGTTCGTGACAGTATCATGCTTTTGATTCTACAGGAGCTCCCACAATTATGTGTCGAGGATGCATCTTTAAGGGAGTGTTTGAGAGATTTGGATTTTGTTCCGACATCCAGTGGTTCTTTGAAGTCTCCTGCTGTGCTATATGATCCTCGTAATGAAGAATTGTATGCTCTATTAGAAGATTCTGATAGTTTTCCCTGTGGTAGTTTCCAAGAATCAAGTATTTTGGACATGCTACAAGGTTTGGGACTTAGGATGACTGTGTCTCCTGAAACAGTCATACTAAGTGCTCGACAAGTAGAGTGGTTAATGCATGAGGATCAACAAAAGGCGCATTCAAGAGGCAAAGTGCTTCTTTCCTACCTAGAAGTAAATGCATTAAAGTGGCTACCTAATCCACCAAATGATGATCAAGGTAAAGTGAATAGAATGTTGTTACGAGCTGCAACTGCATTCAGACCTCGCAACTTGAAATCTGACATAGAGAAGTTCTGGAGTGATCTCCGCATGATTTGCTGGTGCCCAGTCCTTGTTTCTTCTCCTTATCAAGCTTTGCCATGGCCTGCTGTGTCATCTATGGTTGCTCCTCCGAAGCTTGTAAGATTGTATAGGGATTTGTGGCTTGTTTCAGCAAGTATGCGGGTACTTGATGGAGAATGCTCCTCCACAGCCTTATCACAGCAGCTTGGGTGGTCTTCTCCACCTGGAGGTAGCGTAATTGCTGCCCAACTACTTGAGCTTGGAAAAAATAGTGAGATTGTGACTGATCAGGTGCTTCGGCAGGAATTGGCCTTAGCAATGCCGAGGATATACACCATACTGATGGGCATGGTTGGGTCAGATGAGATGGATGTTGTTAAAGCTGTTCTAGAAGGGTGCCGATGGATTTGGGTGGGAGATGGATTTGCGACCTCCGATGAGGTTGTCCTTAATGGTCCTCTTCATTTGGCTCCTTATATACGTGTTATACCTGTTGATTTAGCAGCATTTAGGGATTTATTTTTGGAGCTTGGCATTCGGGAATTCTTGAAACCCAGTGATTATGCTTCTATTTTATGCAGAATGGCTAAAAGAAAAGGTTCCACTCCCCTTGATGCACAGGAAATTAGGGCCGCTATATTAATTGTACAACATCTGGCTGAGGTTCAGATTTATGAAAAGCAAATTAAGATTTACCTACCAGATGTGTCAGGCAGACTGATTAATGCTACTGATTTAGTTTATAATGATGCTCCCTGGCTGCTTGGCTCAGAAGAGTCTGATAATTCATTTGGAAATGCATCTACTGTGGCTTTAACTGCAAAGAGAAAGATTCAAAAGTTTGTGCATGGGAACATATCTACTGATGTTGCGGAGAAGCTAGGTGTCCGTTCACTTCGGAGGATGTTGCTTGCTGAGAGTGCTCATTCAATGAACTTGAGTTTGTCAGATGCGGCTGAAGCATTTGGGCAGCATGAAGCCTTGACAACTAGACTTAAACACATACTTGAAATGTATGCAGATGGACCTGGGATTCTCTTTGAGCTTGTGCAGAATGCGGAGGATGCAAGAGCTTCTGAAGTAATCTTTCTTTTGGATAAAACTCAATATGGTACTTCATCAGTTCTCTCCCCTGAAATGGCAGATTGGCAAGGTCCTGCGTTGTACTGTTTTAATGACTCTGTTTTCAGCCCCCAAGATTTATATGCGATCTCACGTATTGGTCAGGAAAGTAAACTAGAGAAGCCTTTTGCAATTGGAAGGTTTGGGCTAGGATTTAATAGTGTTTATCACTTTACAGACATCCCCGCATTTGTCTCTGGGGAAAACATTGTCATGTTTGATCCTCATGCTTGTAACTTGCCTGGGATCTCTCCATCGCACCCTGGCCTCCGGATTAAATTTGTTGGGAGAAAGATTTTGGAACAATTTCCTGATCAGTTTTCTCCTTTCTTACACTTTGGTTGTGATTTGCAGCATCCATATCCTGGCACTCTCTTCCGTTTTCCCCTCAGGAGTGGAAGTGTTGCTTCCCGAAGCCAAATAAAGAAAGAAGCTTATGCACCTGAAGATGTAGTCTCGCTCTTTTCTTCTTTTTCTGAGGTGGTTTCTGAGACACTCCTATTTCTCCGCAATGTGAAAACTATCTCCATTTTTGTCAAAGAAGGAGCTGGTAATGAAATGCAACTTCTACATCGTGTCCACAAACAGTGTGTTAGTGATCCTGAAGCTGAAGCCAATAAGTTTCATCATTTGTTTAGCTTAATGCATGGAAATCAACAAGATGGTGTGGATAAGGACCAATTTCTTAACAAACTGAGCAAATCTGTAGAAACAGTTTTGCCATGGAAATGTCAGAAGATTGTGGTGAGAGAGCAAAGCTCATCTGGTGAAAAGTCACACCTGTGGATAACTAGTGAATGTCTGAGTGGTGGCAGTCTTAAGAATAACACTGTAAATTTTGATAACAAATCTCATAAATATATTCCTTGGGCTTGCGTTGCTTCATATTTACACTCTCTGAAGGTTGATCCGGAAGTCAGTGATATCCCAAATGCTCAGGAACCTTGCATTATTACTCCAGATACAATTCAAGTTCACGAAAATTCCATTCAAGATAGAAGAAATTTTGAGGGTCGTGCCTTCTGCTTTTTACCACTTCCTATAAACACCGGTCTTCAAGTTCATGTTAATGCATATTTTGAGCTGTCATCAAACCGGAGGGATATTTGGTTCGGTAATGACATGGCGGGGGGTGGTAAAAAACGCTCGGACTGGAATATTTACCTCCTCGAAGATGTTGTTGCCCCAGCTTATGGTCACTTGCTTGAGAAAGTTGCGGTGGAAATCGGTCCATGTGATTTATTCTTTTCATTTTGGCCAACGGCTGTTGGTGTAGAACCTTGGGCATCAATGGTGGGGAAACTCTACCTTTTTATTGCTGAATTTGGACTTCGTGTATTGTATACAAAAGCTAGAGGGGGACAGTGGATCTCAACCAAACAAGCTATTTTTCCTGATTTTACTTTTCATAAGGTTCATGAGCTTGTTGAGGCATTGTCAGATGCTAGTTTACCGGTTGTGACCGTTTCTAAGCCACTTGTGGAGAAATTTATGGAGTTCTGTCCATTGTTGCATTTCCTTTCACCTCAGTTATTACGGACATTGTTGATTAGGCGGAAGCGTGGCTTTAGAGACAGAGATTCGATGATCTTGACCCTTGAGTATTGCTTACTTGATTTAAGAGTTCCTGTTCAATGTGAAAATTTGTGTGGTTTACCTTTGGTGCCTCTTTCTAATGGTTTATTCACGACATTTGAGAAAAGAGGGGTGGGTGAAAGAATATTTGTTACACGTGGAGATGAGTATGGTCTTCTTGAGGATTCAGTTCCTCATCAACTTGTAGACCGTGGAATCTCTGAAATTCTTCACGAGAAGTTATGCGATCTAGCCCGAAGTGAGGATTTCAATATTTCTTTTTTGACATGCCATTTGCTTGAAAAGCTCTTTCCAAGATTACTTCCACCAGAGTGGCAGCATGCTAAGCAGGTAGCTTGGGCCCCTGGTCTTCAAGGCCAGCCTAGTTTGGAATGGATGAGGCTACTATGGAAATACCTACAGTTGTCTTGTGATGATCTTTCGGTGTTTTCTAAGTGGCCTATTTTGCCAGTTGGAAACCATAATCTATTGCAGCTTGTTAAGAATTCAAATGTGATTGAAGATGATGGCTGGAGTGAGAACATGTCCTCTCTGTTGCTCAGAGTAGGTTGCTTAATCTTGAGGAGTGACCTTGGAATCGAACATGGCCAATTGAAAAATTATGTGCAGCCTCCAACTGCAACTGGCCTATTAAATGCGCTACTGGCTGTTGCTGGTGGGTCAGAGAACATTGAGGGGCTCTTTAGAGATGCATCAGAAGGTGAACTGCATGAACTTCGGAGTTTTATTCTCCAGTCCAAGTGGTTCAGTGAAGACTCAATGGATGTCATGCATATTGACATCATCAAACAGCTTCCTATTTTTGAGTCCTTCAGGAGTAGAAAATTAGTTTGTTTAAGCGAACCTACCAAATGGCTTAAACCAAGTGGTGTACGTGAGGATCTTTTGGATGATAACTTTGTACGCACGGAATCAGATAAAGAAAGAATCATTCTGAGAAGTTATTTAGAGATTAGAGAACTTTCAAGGGAAGAATTCTATAAAGATTATGTACTCAATCGCATGCCTGAATTTATATTGCATCAGGAAACTCTCTCCGCTATTTTACGTGATGTTAAGCTTTTGATTGCAGAGGATGACTCTATCAAAACAGCACTTTCCAATACAGCTTTTGTGTTGGCATGCAATGGATCTTGGAAGGAGCCATCCAGGTATGTATTCGTTTCTCCCATTCCATATGTGGGAATTTGTGTCCGTACCAATAAAATTACTAATGATCTTAAAGTTGCTTTTCGAGTAAGATCAAAAGTCCTGCAATCCTGTTGTTTTTGTTTTTACTTTTATTTTTTGTTTGATAGTATTGTGGTCCATGAAATTTTATAGCATTTTTAAAAAGTGGACCTGCTAGTGGAAATTTATACTCTTTCTTAGGGTTCGTCTTCTAAGATTATGGTTTCTGTTGCTATATTTTTAATATGAAGAAATGGCCCTTGACCAAGTGGAATGATGAAACAGGAGTCCTGTTGTCGATCCCAGGAAGTTGGAAAAAAGCCTTTGTTGAGTTTAGTTGAATTGTAGAATTGGCAGCTAAGGTTTGCCATAGATTTACAAATTTCTGCTTTCTTAACCGGATGCCTTCTGCTTTGTGAATAACCAGTTGCTAACAAATGGGATGTGAAATATGAGGACTTTGTTATTTGCAGTCCATTTTTTAATTCCATGTCATGCTCTTTCATTTGTATTTTGCAGTTCAAATTAAATTACAAATTAGGATGCTGATATACTGTGACTGTCTAGAGTCAGTAGTATTGACTTTCGTTTTCTTCTCTCTCTTCTATTTTCTAAATACCTTTAATGCACTTATGTTTGATTCCTTTATGTATACAAATAAAGTACAAAAGTACTATCTACATATTCATATTCTATACCCTCACCCCAGCTAATACCCTTTGTTAATAAGCTATCCCATGGCGAAGCCTGATGCTGCATGAGATTGGCTTGTTTAACAAATGAGCTTTCAAAATGGCTTGAGAATGGTTTGTTTTCCTCTTATTCTAACTTGAATGAGTTTTTAAGTGTGCTGAGCCTGAGCTGTCCATGAACAGCTCGGATCACTCACATTGCTAATGAGAAAGCTAGAGTGCATGAAATGTGCGAGGAAAAAGACTGTACCCTCAAAAGGTTTTCAGTAAGAGGCTAAAAGTTTATGTTTTGAAAAGGTTACTACTTGCATAATAGACCCATTAGCAAGCAGGTCAACCGTCATTCAAATCTTTTATACTTCTAATAACTTATTCTATTCTTTGAAAATTACATGCACATTTAAATATATTGTTTTTGGCAGGTTGTATGATCCTCGTGTTCCTGAGCTACAGAAGGTGCTGCACAAGGAAGTTTTCTTTCCTTCGGAGGAGTTCTCTGATCCTGAAACTCTGGAGACTCTAATTTACCTTGGACTTCGACAAAACTTGGGTTTTACTGGTTTGCTTGATTGTGCTAGGTCAGTTTCTATGTTACATGAATTGAAAGACTCAGAAACAGCCGATTATGGGAGCAGGTTACTTGTTTGTTTAGATGCAATAGCATTCAAGCTCTCATCTCAGGAAGACCAGGGCAACTACAATGAGCTTAGAACTGCCATTGAAAGTCATAACTACAGTGTTGCTGATGGTGAAGCAGAGGAGTACTTTCCAGAGAGATCTGAGAATTGCTTTGAAGATGGTCTGGACATTGACTCATTTGTTGGCAATTTGATTGGCGATAAGCCAGGAGAAGAATTTTGGTCAGAACTGAAAGGTATTGCATGGTGTCCTGTTTGTGCTGGTCCACCTCTGCGAGGACTTCCATGGTTAGTATCAAGTGATCTAGTGGCAGCTCCAGTGAGTGTGAGACCTAAATCACAGATGTGGTTTGTTTCATCTAAAATGAATATACTAGATGGTGAATGCCGCTCAATGTACCTACAACGTAAACTTGGTTGGATGGATCTCCCAAGTATAGATGTTTTGTCCACGCAATTAATTGGCGTATCCAAGTCCTATGCCCAGCTCAAGTCAGATTCTGCCGTGGAACCTGATTTTGATGCTACACTTCAGAAGGAACTTCCTTTACTTTATGCAAAATTGCAAGAATATGTTGATACTGATGATTTTATGGTTCTAAAGTCTGCCTTGGATGGTGTTTCTTGGGTTTGGATTGGAGATGATTTTGTACCTGCAAATGCACTTGCCTTTGATTCACCTGTGAAATTTAGTCCTTATTTATATGTGGTACCATCTGAGTTATCAGAATTCAGAGTTTTGCTTTTGGCATTAGGTGTTCGACTCAGTTTTGATTTTCTTGACTATTTCCATGTGCTACAACGCTTGCAGATGGATGTGAAAGGGTCTGCCCTGTCATCCGATCAGTTGAGTTTTGTCAATTGTGTCCTAGAAGCTGTTGCAGACTGTTTCTCTGATAGGCCATTTGAGGCTTCTACTCCACTGTTAATTCCAGATGCTTTCGGTATCCTGAGGTGTTCTACAGAGCTTGTGTATAATGATGCATTATGGATGGAGAATACCCTTGTTGGGAAACATTTTGTACATCCGAGTATCAATAATGATCTGGCAAACAGGTTGGGAGTTCAATCACTTCGTTGTCTCTCTTTAGTCAGCGAAGAAATGACTAAAGATTTACCATGCATGGACTATGCTAGAGTATGTGAGCTTCTGGCATCGTACGGGAACAGTGAGTTTTTGTTGTTTGACCTTCTTGAGTTGGCAGATTGCTGCAAAGCAAAAAAGTTTCACCTAATCTTTGACAAGAGGGAACATCCACGCCAGACTTTGTTGCAGCACAATCTAGGTACTTACATGATTCCGGTCTTTGTTGTTGCATTAGATGAGTCAATATAGCAATGCCATTTTAAGGATAAGGACTTAGAGTTCGAGCTTTTAGGGAGCCCTAAATTGTGAATTGAAGCTACTGCTTATTGTATTATTATATAGCCACATATCTGTTACAGAGGTAAAGGGTTTACACTAACTTGTGATGAATTTGCAATTTTGCACAATGTTTTTAAAGATGAATTCTTGATTTAGCTCATTGGTGGATTTTGTGTCAAGCATTAGTGTTCTTTTGTTGTGTCATCCTAAATCTCATTCACCAAATTGAATTTTGCTTGGACTAGGTGAATTTCAAGGGCCTGCTCTCTTAGCTATCATGGAAGGGGTGAGCTTGAGTAGGGAGGAATTAAGTCACCTCCAGTTTCTTCCTCCTTGGAGATTGCAGGGTGATGCTCTTAACTACGGCTTAGGACTGCTTAGCTGTTTCTACATATGTGATCTCCCATCAGTTGTATCTGGTGGGTACCTTTACATGTTTGATCCTCAGGGTCTGGCCTTTGCTCTGCCTTCAAGCTCTTCTCCTGCAGCAAAAATGTTCTCCTTGATAGGTAATTTGTTAATATGCATTTGTGCATTCACTGTCTTTAGTGCTTGGCGGTATAATTAGTTGTACTTTTTCATGTTTATATCTTTGACATTGTTGGGTGATTACTTGAAGTTTGCAGGAACAATTTGGTTAGAGAATTGTCGAGGATGAAGAATTTTGGCATTTAAAGTTTATATGGCAATATATTGCCTGTTTGTTGATTGTTTAGTAGCTGTTGTAACCCCTCATCTACTGCCCCACGCCACAAACTCAAAACTCAAACAAATAAAACATTTTACTTCCTAAAATAGTCAGTTCACAACCCTTCATAAATAATACTTTTTTGGGTCATGGAGTTTCTCTTCCATCATCACTTGGAATGTAAAAATAGACGTACTTGATATCTGTCTGAAGGCTAGACAAGTTTCTCTTTCTAGCCTATTTATTAATCTATCATTCTTTAGTTTAGATTTAGAATCTTAAGCTTAATTTCAAAATTTCCATTTACTTTAATTGCTAAAAACAATATTTCTGGGTGTCAAAGTTTTACTAGGTTATTAGATGGTTGTTAGGGAAATTTACCAAACATGAGGCTATCAGGGATGTCAACCATTTGAAAATGCGTCTTGCTCAATGTTATATGATTTTTCTGTATGACATGAGGAAATGGAAAAGAAGTATTGATCCCCACTATGTTTTGGTTATGTTTTGGGGAATTGTGAAGAAGTCTAACCAATGGTATTAACTGGAAAACTGCATCTGTGATGCTGTGCTCCCCTATCCATGTCTGTTTTGCTTGATTTTTATAACTTTGTATGTGTAGTTCCTGTAATCTATTGATTCAAGAATTTGAGTGTAAAATCAACTAGGCTTGGCTTCCAAGTAGGTTGGTTTGTGCTATCTGTAAGGCTTCGATTATGTGTACGGGTATGAGTATCATACCTGAACCTTATTTTTATTAGATTTTACCAGTATCCGTACACGTGCTTCATAGTTCACGAGTGATAGCACAATTGTTTTTAAAAATCTTGACCACTTTATGAACATACTTTTTTTGAAGACTGCATTTTTTCCTGCTTGTTTTACTCATTATTTGATGTGGTCTGCTGTCTTAAAGTTATGATTCCCCCTCTCTTTTTCTTTCCCTCCCTATTAATTTTTTCCCCAAATTTTCCACTTTCCTTTTTTATTATGGAAATTGTTGATAAGTTTGCGATATGTATTCAATCTCCAAAGAGCATCTAAAAACTCACAGTTTCCCCTAATATGATTTCAGGTACAAATCTGACTGAGCAATTTCGTGATCAATTTAATCCCTTGTTGATTGGCCAAACTATGCCGTGGTCTTCATCAGATTCTACTGTTATCCGCATGCCTCTTTCGTCTGAGTGTATGAAAGATGGACTTGAGTGTGGATTAAAGAGAATAGAACAAATCTTTGAGAAATTCATGGACCATGGTTCTAAAGTACTTTTATTCTTAAAATCAGTTTTACAGGTAAAATCAGAAATTAAATAGTTCCTGTAAGTTGTGTCTATGCATCCATTGCTTGCAAAAATGGGGGGAGAATAGTCCCTTTCATGTAAATAAAAGTAATAGAAGAATAATAAGACAAATTAACAAGCCAAAGCAAGAAATAGAAACTAAGCCGGCAAAGTGGTTTCATTATGCTGTTTATTTGCTGCAAGCCTGGAATAGGGTAAACCGATGCCTTTGGTGATCAAACTCAAGGTGCTATTTTTGAGAAAAAGGCTTTTTGAACCCACGCAAATAAAATGAGAGAACACAACGCAGTGAAAAGACTTTTGGCCTAACGAGCATCACAAATAACTTGTGGAAATGTCAAATGATTGAATCCATTTATTCCCGAAGCAAATGGGAAGGATAGATGCGAAAGAATTAATTTTGGTGGCATTAGTTATCACCATTGCTGTTTTTCACACTAGCCTCTGATTAGGTTGGTGGAAAATATCTATCTATTTATGATAGCTTTCCAGATGAGAGGTTTGACCTCTGAGGCTGCACTTGTCTTGCTATATTAGAATTGTTGTAGTGATCTTTTATATAACTCGGTGGTCTGCTTTAATATGATATCGCTATGTTTGCTTAAATTTTTTTTTTCCAGGTAACGCTATCCACATGGGAGGAAGGAAGCCCACAGCTTTGCCAAGATTACTCAATTTCTGTTGATTCAACATATGCTATTGTGAGAAATCCGTTTTCGGAAAAAAAGTGGAGAAAGTTTCAAATATCTAGGTTATTTAGCAGCTCAAATACGGCAATCAAGTTGCATGTAATTGATGTGAACTTGTATCAAGGAGGAAGCAGAGTTGTTGACCGATGGCTAGTTGCCCTTAGCCTGGGTTCTGGGCAGACAAGAAATATGGCCCTTGATAGGTATGAAGGAAAGTGTGTTCAATGTAATTCTTCATTTTGATCACAACACTCTGGATTTTGGAACATGCATTATGATTTATGTGATGGTTTATATCTTTGAGTAAACTTGTGGATTTTTTATTGAAATTTTAATGTCATGTTGACACTGACATGTATCTGCAATTAATGTTAACATTCTGTTGCGAAATCGTGGAAGAGTGTTAAACAGAGCAAGCAATGGATTCATAATTCTCTAGATGCTATAATTTATTCTTTGTGCCATTGTTGAAGAGATGGGTTAAATGATTGATACTTATGTCAAATTATGTTCTTTTTGGAACTTCATTTACTCCAAGATAGGGATATAGAAAATTAGGATGCTTTTAAAATTGTCATCCCAAAACTGGAAATTTTGGCGATATCACATTTTGAAACACACCTCATGCGATACACACCCAGGTCAATGTGACGTGGAGTTTGGATTTTTAAGAATACAGTTTAATCATTGATTACCTATCTTTTGACAATAACTGACGGTCAGTGTGATCAAAGAACAATGGAAAGGGAAAGTGAAAACCGTCTAATCTTCCCTTTGTATAGGTCACTTATTATGTAAATTCCTACTCTTATTTATATTGATTTTGAGTATTCTGTAAGAAGGAAGTGACTTGAAGTGGGTCCAACCATCTATCTTTCCAAAATATTTAAGGAGACTACTCCTGAAAAAAAATGAGATCAAAGGACTTCTTATGTCCAGCTTGAGAAATGATTTCACAAAGACGGTTCTCTTCAATTCACAAGTGTGGGTGTCTTATCTTTTGTTGTGTAGCTTTCCCCCCAACCTGCTTTGATCTCCCAATTATCAAATTTATTCTAATCTAAAGGGCTGGTCTGTCTATATAAGGCAAGCAACATTATTATCATATGCAGCTGTAATGTTCTCAACGCCAAAGATGGATTGATAGAGGCTTTTAGATGCTAGGGTTGGATGAGAATTAATAGTGTTATGTATGGAGCTTGTGGATGATAACTGTTAAAATGTGACATGGATGGATTTTTAGAACAACTACTTAGAAAGGGACGAAAGAGGGGAAAAAATGGAGAAAACTGAATAAGAGATTATGAAGCCCAGTGCTGCACTAGGGTTTTTAGAATCTCTCCTAAAGTCTGAAAGCATTGCAAATTGAGGTGGTTGGCTTGGAAGTTCTCTATTGATTTCATTACTCCACATTGTTCCTTCAGCAGAACTAAGGTGGATACCGTCATTTGACCCTAATTGGATATACAATTGCTAAGATAACTCTTATATGCTCATTCACTCTTGCATTTTTTCACTGGGTTTCATTTACTGATGGTTAATAATTGCATTTAATGCAAAATGATTGTATTTTGTTGGCCTCATAAGTACTTGATATATAATATCATCTGAACTCATTTTTGCAAAAGGAAAATCATTGTTGTGTCTGGAGCACTAGGAAGTTGAAGTGTATTTATGTAATTTTTAACTAGAAGTCTAGCAGTAAATTTTTTTGGGTGAATATCTAGCAGTAAATTTGATCACATGACAAATTTAATTTAACAAAATGTACAAAAATATACTTTAAACTAATGACCATAGTTATCTGATGATGGTAATAAAATAACCAACTGGTTCTTATGTTTACTTACAGTGCAATTTATTTATTTATGAAGCACTGAAACTTCAAAGTAGTTGCCCTAGCCGTGTCCTTGGACATTGACATGCCTTAGACACATGTTGGACATACCCATGACATGTTTTCCTCATTAAACACATTAGGGACACATCACAGGCATGCCTGTCTTGCCTCCGGACACGCCATAGGATACTTTTGATATTAAATTAATTGCTTTTGATAGTTGTGATGTAATAATGGTTTATGATTGACAGTATTTTGTATGTTGAATAATGATGTTTAAATTATAGATGGAGTGGGTTTTTCATATTGAGTTTTATTTATTTTTGGTTTTTCGATGTAATATTCATATACATTACAAATACAAGAATATACATTATATATTTTTGATGTATTCCCACCGTGTCCGCGTCTGTGTTTGTGTCCATATCCTTATCTGTATTTGTGCTTCTTAGGTGGTTCACCACATCATGTGAGAATTTCTTTCCTATCTCCCTTCATGTAGCTGTGAGAATATATTTGTATCTATTTTGCATATTAGTATATATTGTGTATATATTTATATTAGGCATATTTGATAGCCCTTTGATTGTATAGGGATTCTATTTCCTTTTTTTATCTTTGTCTTAGGGCTATATAAACAGTTGTGTACTTTGTAAATATGCAATTGAATATACAGTTTCATTCAGAAAATTTACATGGTATCAGAGCCAAAACCCTAGATCTAGCCTTGATTGTTCGAAGTTCATTCTCCTCGTTCGAATTTGTTCTTCGAAGTTCTCTCGGTGGTTCTGTGAAGTTGCGACAGCTTCTTGTCTCTAGGTTGAAGTCGTGACTCTCTGTTCTAGGCTTGATCACGATTGCAAGGGCCGTCGTCTCTCTTTGGTTTAGAAACTCAACTTGACACTCATCGTGGGTCGTTGTTTCTGTTCGATTGAAGTCTTTAGTCTCTGATTCTGGTTTGTTGGTCTCGATCGAAGCAGTCATCTCTCTCCTGGATCGTTGGTCTCGATTGAAGCTTTTGTCTCTCTCCCTGTTCTATTGCGACCCATCGAGACTTCTCTGATTTGTCTCTCTCTATCTCAATTGTGGTCTCTCCTCCTTTCCTGCTTTGTTGATTCAATGTGTTGATGTGGTTATCAAACTTCTATTTACATTTTAGCCCCTCTGTTTGTGATTATTTGGTTAGTTGGAACAAATTTTTTGTGTGTTATTATACTTCAACCCATTAGTTCTGTTTTATTATAATGTCAGACACCAAAATCCAAGCCATTAAATGCAAACTCACTGGTACCGATTATGCTTATTGGGCTAGTATTATGAAGAATTTTCTTCTTGGTAAGAAAAAATAGGGTTATGTTTCTGGTTTTGTTCCTTATCCATCGGACCTAAAAGCAGAAGGATATTAGACTTCTTCTGACTCTTGGGATTGTGATAATGCCCAAGTTCTAACTTGGTTTCATAACCCTGTGGATGATCGTATTGGAATGATGATTTCTAAATATAGTACTGCCAAGGAGGTGTGGGATTATTTACAGAGTGTTTATCAACAATTCAACTTTGCCAAGCGGTTTGAGTTGGAAACAGTTATTCAGAGTGTTCGTCAGTGGGAATTAGTCTATTCAGGACTTCTATATTGAGATGACAGGTCTCTGGGATCAGTTGGCTCTTATGGAACCACCTAGTCTCAAGATACTGAACACTTATATGGAGTTTCGGGAGCAGGGTCGTTTAGTGCAGTTTTTAACGGCTCTATCCCCTCAGTATGAGGCTATCCGGGGTGGCATCCTTCACCGGTCTCCTCTTCGATCTATGGATGCTATTGTTCGTGAGTTCCTCTCTGAGGAAACCTGTCTTAAGACGATCAGTCAGACTCTGCCTCCCTTTGTCTTCTTGGCTTTTGCTAAGCCTCCTTTATTATTGACCCAACCTCCTCATCAGCTTCAGTCCACTGCGAAATCCAAGAAAGGACCATTAGGTCCAGATTTTTGCCATCAAAAGGGTCATTGGAAGAACAACTGTCCCAAGAAGGGACGTCAGCCTGCTTTGTCTTCTCAGACACAGTTCTGCGGTCCCACACCGAGTACTTTCCGACCTCCTGCTGCTTATACTGTATTTGCTCCGGCTACCGATCCTGACTTGGCTTCCTTGAGTGCTCAGATTGCGCAACTTTAGCATATCCTATCCACCTCTCAGCCATCCCCATCTACCTCTGCTCTTACCTCTCTTCATTCAGTTTTGTTTGGGTCCTCTTCAAGTATCTCTTCTTCTGTCTAGCTTTTTGATTCTGGTGCCTCTCATTATATGACTCTTCACCTTTCCTTACTTCGAAACTGTATTCCTTTACCCGTTCCTATTACTATTAATACTGCTAATTTGTCTGGTATGTCTGTTTACCCTCTGCCATGTCTGTTGTTACTATTTCCTTTGTTCTTTATGTCTCTTAGCTATCTATCAGTTTATTATCTATCAATCAATTTAATGCTTCTGGTTTTGATGCTATCTTTTCCTCTTCTATCTGTTGTGTGCAAGACCCGATGTCCAAGAAGCAGATTAGGATCGACCGTAGTGTTGGAGATCTCTATGTGGTAGAAAGCTTGCATCTCCCTTTATCCACCTCTCCAATTGCACTTTTCTCGTTTCAATTAGATTCTGCGTCGAGTCAATTTTATTTATGGCATTCTCGCCTAGGTCATTTGTCTGTTGATCACTTACGGTCTATAGCTCAGTCAGGGTTGTTAGGTAAAGTTTCTCCTAGTCAAATTGATAAATGTCGGGGGTGTAAACTTGCCAAAATGTTAGCTTTACCATTTAATAAAATTACTTCTATTTCTGTTTCTCCATTTTCTCTTGTACATACTGATGTCTAGGGACCCTCTCCTGTTCTTACTAAAGGGGGTTCTACATGCTATGTGTTTTTTGTTGATGATTGCACCCGCTATACTTAAGTTTATCTTATGACTCATAAATCTGACTTCTACCAAATATACCGTAACTTTCAATTTATGATCACTACACAGTTTGGGTTTACTATTAAATTGTTATGGTCTGACTTAGGTGGGGAGTATTTTGAAACTAAGTTCTGTGAGTATCTGGTCAATTTGGGTACCATTCACCAAATTTCTTGTACTGATACACCCTCCGAAAATGGTCGTGCTGAACGTAAACACCGTCATCTCGTTGAGACAGCTAGGTCTCTCTTTTCTACCTCTGTTTCGGCTCCCTTTTGGAGGAAGCCGTTCTTAAAGCTGCTTTTCTTCTCAACCGTATGTCTACCCCTTACTCTCTAGTCGTTCTCCTTACGAGGCTCTGTTTTTCTAACTTCCCAATTACTCTCTCCTTCATGTTTTTGGGTCTGCATGTTTTGTCCTTCTTTCTCGGAAAGATAGGACAAAACTTAGTGCCCGGTTTGTCATGTGTGTCTTTTTGAGTTACAGTCTTACTCAGAAAGGTTATCGTTGTTATGATCTTGTTTTCCGTCGCCTTTATGTCTCCCACCATGTTGCCTTCTTGGAGTGTTTAGCTTACTTTTAGCTTCCTTCTCTCACTATTTCGGTTTCTAAAGAGAATTTAGTTCACGTTGATCTATTTCCTTCTAAGGTCCCTCCTATGAGTACATCTGTACTGTTCTCCATGAGTTTGTTCCTTTTCTCCTCCTACTACCCTTTTTGCTGAGTCCTCCTCCAATGTTCCCCATAAGTCTGTTCCATCCTCTCCAGTACCTCCCCCGCCTGCTTTTTCTCCTCATCTGTTGTTTATCTATTCTCGTCACAAGACTCTCCTTTCACTAGTTGTCTCTGCCCCTGCTGCTGATCCTCCTGTTTCTGATGACTCTGGTCTTGTTAACAGTAAGTATCCCCTTCGTTTTTGTAAACAAGTAGTCAAACTTGATTTTGCTAAAATTTGTTTTTCTCTTTCATATTGTTCGTTTTTATCTGCTATTCACTCTTTTTCAAAACCTTTTACAACCTGTCAGGATCCTAATTGGATTCAAGCATGAGTTGTCTGCATTGCAGAAGACTAGTACTTAGGAGCTGGTTTCTCTGCCTACTGGTAAGAATCTGATTGGTTGCAAATGGGTCTATAAAGTCAAGACTCATTCTAATAGTTCTCTCGAGCACTACAAAGCTCGTCTGGTTGACAAAGGTTTCTTATAAGAGTATGGTATTGATAATGAGGAGACCGTTGCCCCTGTTGCCAAGATGACTATTGTCCGTATTTTGATCTCTGTTGCTGCTGTTTGTCATTGGCCTCTTTATCCGATGGATGTTAAGAATGTTTTTTTTAATGGCCATCTCACTGAGGAGGTTTACATGCGTCCTCCCCTTGGCCTTCACCATTCCTCTAGACATGTATGTTGTTTTCGGCGTGCTTTGTATGGTTTGAAACAATCTTCTCGTGCTTGGTATGATTGCTTTCAAATAGTTGTTATTGAGCTTGGGTTTCATCTTTGTGCCCACAAACTCTGCCTTGTTTCTTCTCTAAATCTCAGCTGGTTTTGTTGCCTTATTATTGTATGTGGATGATATGATCATCACTGGCTCTGACTCTTCTAGTATCTTTGAGGTCAAGCAGCATCTCTTTCCGCACTTTCGAAATGAAGGATCTGGGACCATTGTGGTATTTTCTTGATATTGAGGTGGTTTCTTCTCCTAAGAGCTACTTTCTGTCTCAAGCTAAGTATGCCAATGAGGTTATTCACTGTGTCGGTCTTACTGACACTAAGATTTCTAATACCCCCATTTAGCTTAATGTGAAGCTCAACTCTATTGATGGTATCCCTCTAGATGATCCTACTTTATATCGAGAACTTGTGAGTTGCTTAGTCTATCTGACGGTTACTCATCCTGATCTTGTTTATGCTGTTCATGTGATTAGCTAGTTCATTTTTGTTCCTCACTCTACCCATTGGACTGCTTTGCTTCGGATTCTTCACTATCTTCATGGTATTATCTTCCAAGGCTTGGTGTTGTCTTCTACTTCATCTTTGGATTTGGTGGCCTATGCTGATGCTAATTGGGCTGGTGATGTTAATGATCATAAGTCCACTTCTGGTTTCTGTATGTTTCTTAGCGATTTCTTAATTTTTTAGAAAAGCAAGAAACAAACTTTTATTGCCCGTTCTATTGCCGAAATTGAGTACCATGCTATGGCTCATGCTACTGTTGAAGTTGTCTGGCTTCGTTGTCTCTTATTTGATTTGGGTGTCCCTCAGTCTTCCCCGACATTTCTCTATTGTGACAACCGTAGTGCTATTCAAACTGCCCATAACACTATCTTTCATGAACGGACGAAGCACATTGAGATTGATTGTCACTTGGTCCATCAGCATCTGTAGTCTGGTTCTATCTCACTTCCATTTGTTACTTCGTCTTTGCAACTTGCTTATTTCTTTACCAAGACTTGCACCACTGCTCGGTTTCGGTTTCTTCAAGACAAACTCTCAATGTTTTTGCATAAAACACCTTAAGTTTGAGTGGAGGTGTGAGAATATATTCGTATCTATTCTGTATATTAGTATATATTTTGTATATATTTATATTAGGCATGTTTGATATCCCTTTGATTGTATAGGGATTCTATTTCCTTTTTTTTTATCTCTGTCTTAGGGCTATATAAATAGTTGTGTACTTTGTAAATATACAATGGAATATACAGTTTCATTCGGAAAACTTACAGTAGCACTGTTTTTTCTTTCCTCAAAAAAGTTACTGCAATGTTTCTGAGATATGTTGTGATTTATTTTGTATTTCTTACCAGGCGGTATCTGGCATACAACCTGACTCCTGTTGCCGGAGTTGCAGCACACATATGCCGGAATGGCCAACCTGCTGAGGCCTATTGGTCAAGCTCTCTCATGTGCCCTCTTCCTTTGTCTGGTGGTATAAACATACCTGTCACTGTTCTTGGATATTTCCTTGTGCGGCAGAATCGAGGTCGTTACCTCTTCAAATACCAAAATATAGAAGCATTGGCAGAGGCACGGCTAGATGCTGGTAATCAGTTAATAGAAGCTTGGAACAGAGAACTGATGTCTTGTGTCCGTGATTCCTACATTGAGATGATCTTGGA